ATAAACAATAAACAATGCACCATGACACACTTCGTTGCTTACGGCAAGGGTCACCTTGAAATGTACACATTATGACACACTACACTTTGTCAGGAATGAAACGTATTAAGGTGTTCTTCATCATATCCCCTTGCCGTAAATTCGGTAACGAGCTTGGTCACAAGCGTTCGTGCCTTAAGACAGAAATTTACCTTTCCGCAAATTTCAATCAACCAGGCCATTCTGCCACTGCAGTAAGTGCAGTCTCAAACGATGTCAGTACCTTCACTACGACTTTTGTAATCACGTCAGTGTTTGGCTAACTGAGTAATATTACTTCACCTCTTTTTAAATTTACTGAAAACGTGTTTCTTTAGAAAGCGTAATTATTCATGAAAACAAAACAGCCACTAAACAATACAATAGAATAACATCAATTAAACTGTAAGCATTTTCGAAAAAAACTGTAATTGGAAAATCACTGAAAATACACAGTACAAAAAACTACAAGCTACTGAACCATACTAGCGTATCTCTTGCAGGAGAGCCAAGGACATCCATCAATGACCCACGCGCTATTCAACAGCCCACATCGAACGAAACCGGTCAGTAACTGATAGTAATGGACGCTGCTGATTTTCAAGTACAGACATTATGATACAGCGCGAAAATATGAAAGTTGCAATTGCTTTTTATTCAGATCATCACAACGGTAGAAAGCATAGTCTGGTTAATTTTTATTTTACGTTCTTTCAATTCACACACTTCTTTCATTTTAAAATTCACATTTTTATCGGATGATAATCTTTTGGACTAGAAAGCTGGAGGAATACAATCACAGCATTGCATATACTTAATATATCATATCTCATCGTAAATGATGCGACTTGAAACTTCGTGAAACCAGTTTAAGGTTGCAACGATACCATTTAACCAGACTAGCAGGAAGTTCATCCATCTTTATAAAGCTGTCAGAAAAACATGCCGTCAGAAAGCGTGAATGTCGAAGGTCTAAAAGCAGAAATCTATGGTGGTCTAATTTTAATGAAGATCCACAAGTAAAATGCTTTAATTGGAGGTGAAATCGGTAAAACGTCTGTCGGGTCAGAGGATACCTGATGGTAAATGGGTGATAAACAAACCATTCGTCATTGACAAACACGGCATAAAGTCACTGTTCTCTTAGTTTAAGAGATGGGCTAGTATGGAAAGCATGCCAACTCAGAAAAATGAATAAACTAATGTCAGTAAAATCCAGAGAATTGAGAGTAGAATGTCAATAAGCTGGGTATGCTTTCATTTTAAAATTACTGAAGTGTACAGAATTTCATACCTCACTTGCGCTTCAAAGGCTCGACTTTGTTTTCATTTTCCTTTTTCAGTTTCGAAAGAGGTTTTGTTTCTAAAAGAACAAAAATAAAACAGTAGCAGAAAATAAATAGTATAAAAAATGACTGATCACGACATTGACCGCCTATCATTAAATGATAAGAACAGTCCGTCTGGCAAAATCTTAATCCGACGACTTACGTATCAAATTAGCACATGCCGTAAAAATGAAGTATCTCATGCCATGTCACATAATCTCATTTACATAACATTTGGTTGTTTTCTATAGATTGGCTGGAATCGCACAAGAGCTCCACTTGTAATCGCATTGATTATGATCTGACCTATTGCATCACCTCGTGACAGGTATTGTCTGAGTTTTGAATTATGGAATGAACGTCTGCTTCTATGATTTTGCCAAACGCAATTCAAGTTTCCCAAGAAAAGTGCTACAAACATGGCACCAGTGAAGACAGTGCATATAAATAGGCACCATTATGCCTAATGTAACCTATTTCACTAGAGCATTACAAGCCCTGCTTTTGATTTCTGTTCTTGAGCAATTTTTGATCTTTTCGATATTTAAATAAAATGTAGAAATGCTTAACCAAATTCGTGTACATAGATATATGAATTTGGGCATACGATTTAATCTCGTACAAATGTGAATTTATAGCACTCTCGTTAAACTAATCGCTGAATAATCAACGGCACTAAAACTGACTTCAAGCTCAATCACGCTGTTGGTTGAGGCTGACAATAGCTAATTTAAATTAAAGCTAAATAACAGTTAAATTCAGTAAACTGATGTTCTTTCATGTGGATTTCTACGAACGACATGCGTTGACCTTCGGTACAAATCTTGAATTCACGTTGCTCCTGTTAGATTCTTTCTCGTGGGGTCAGAAACGTCACGCAATCAGTCAACAATATATTCATTCACATACCAGCGATTTTGCCTGAGGTTTCGACATTATTCGGAAGTAAGACATGCACGAATATTGTTTTGCTACTTGTAGGAACAACAATGCTCATCGGTATGACAAATCATAGATCAGTTAACTGTGTAAAGAGGTACTGATTAGCTCCTTCTTGAATAACAGCGAATGTTCCGTGTTTTTCGATCCATAATTCAAGGAAACTGTTGGAAAGGTCAATGAAAATTCTTACATTCACCGACGAATTTTACCGCCACACATC